CTACACTGGTTTTAAAAACTACTATAGTTTTTACTAGTTTTAAGTTACTTTAAATCATAATACGATTATATAGTTTGTAAATGAGAGCTACCAGAAGCATGTTACCATTATTATTGCAACTATAATCGTAAATTATGATTGCTTAAAATTATGAGTGAAGCAAATTCGTAATGAAGAATGATTGCAATGATTGAATGATTTCACCACCTCTGCAATATATAGGGACTTGCCTGCTTTTAGAGCTTCAATATACTGCAGTTCAATAAAAAAAACTCAAGCACTTTAAGCAAGAGTTGCACTTATATTGTCTTGCCAATGAAAAAGAAACAACAAAAAAAAAAACAGCCTACTATGCAATAATTACAAGACTGCATGCTGATGCAATTTTTTTTATTCTTCAGAAATTCTGGCCGAATAATAAATTGTTCATTCGGATCCAATATCTTTGCAGTATGATTCCACGTTCATAAAACTTTATTCTTTGCTTACAAAAAACTGATCCAGGTTATTTTGGTGTTCATTTGAAGTAAAAGTTTACCAGATTTTTTCTTAAGAGACTGGAAGAATTTTGCAGAGAACTCATTTCTCTTCCTCTTGTGCTTCAAAAAATGGGTAATTTACTTGACGTTAGAGAAGCAAATCACAGACGTCAACGCGCAGGCACAAATTTCTTTCCAAAGAAACATGAGGAATTCATTTGACGAACTTTGATATTAAGCCTAGGCGTTTCAAATGATTATAAATGATTGAACACGATAAATTTAATCTGTCTGTTTTTATTCACCGTTTTGAATCAATTAACGCCTTTGTGTCTTCATCAGCTTCAACTAGACTTTCAGAAGATGAATTTTCAATATTAAAAATTACCCGATGGAAATTTTTTCAATTTTGGCACTGTCGTTCCGTCAACACATTTTCTCCATAAACATTGGATAGAGCCGAGAGGGCCCAGGCGATAGAGCGTTCGCCTTCCAATGAGGTGAATCGGGTTCAAATCCCAGTGATGGCTGGTGATAAGAATTCCGCATCCTAACGGCAGTGCTGACATAAAATATCCTCAGTGGTAGACGGATCATCGGTTAGAGTTTCCTTGCTGTCAGGCTAACTGTGAAGGTTCTCGGGGTCTTCTTCTCCATGCAACGCAAATGGGAGTTAGTTGCATTAAAAAGTCCTCCATGAAGGCAAATTTCTACCTATACTTGATCCAAGAGTTCCCTTGATTGAGTTGGCTGAAATTGGGTCGGGTGTTCAACAACGATATATATATATATATAAAGATAAAATTAACATCTGATACTTTTTTCTTCTTCTTTGAACAGCAATTTGACCTTTTCGCCGAAAACGCTGTTTTTCCTTTTCCACATTTGAATGGTTACCTACCAAAAACTGCAGCGTAAAATAAGGTAAACCAACCAGTGAAGGAACACTACCCAGTGAAGGAACATTTCATATATATTGATTAAAAATAAGAATTCTAAATTTTTTCTTTACATTGATTGGTAACAATAGCTTACTGCCAAACAGTAGGAAGTCATCTAGCAATGTTTTGGATTACCTGGTCACATAGACTTCTCTGGAACAATTTTTGAATTTGTTATTATCTCTGCAACACCTTGTTTCCATGAAAAAATTATAAGGTGAGTGCTTGTATATATATGTTTGAAGTGGAATTAGTTGCATGTAATAGTTTTATTTTTCTCACTGAGAAAAAGAGAATTCAAAATATAGTTATTGAAGTTACGTTTTATTTTTTTTAAGCATCATAGCATAATAAAGTACTGAGATAAGGGGGTGTTTATTCACTGGATCACCAAACGATGAAAAACCAGTGAATGAACAAGTGTTTACTTACTGTTTTTTTTCTAAGGTAATGAAAATAAAAGATAAACTTTAATTTTCTTGTACCTTTAGTGATGTTCCGCATCAAAAGTATGTTAAAAATACGAAAAACAACTTCTAACCAGTGAGGGAACAGGCATGTTCCTTTACTGGGCATAGATTTACCAGTGAATGAGCAGCATGTGTTAATATGCTGAAACTTTAATTTTCAATTCATGATTACAAAAAAAATTAACATTTTCCAAGTATTTATATGTTATAATTTCAGGAATAGGCTTGTTTTTAAATATTTGCGCGGCTTATAATTTCATAAAGAGCATTAAAAAATAACCAAAATTAAGTGTTCCTTTTCTTGGTGTTCATTCACTGGTAAGAGCTGTTCCTACTACTTGTTATTTGAACCTCCAAAACTTTAAAGCAATATTATGTAAGTTCTCTACAATTTTTTTACATAATTTGCAGTTAGTAACAAATATGCTGACACTGTCATTTAACTAAAATTGCGAATTTTGAAATTAATATGATTTTTTAAGAGGCAAGCGAAGCTTAAGTGTTCCTTCACTGGTTAGTTTACCCTAAATAGAAATTTTTCACAAGCAAGTCTTAACTATGTCAGCTGTCAAAATATATGATGACGGTGCTGCTGTATGTAGCTGTGAAAAAAATACAGTTGAGCCCTATTTTGGAAAAAAATTAAATTACTTTCCGAAAAACACTAACATTTCCCTAAGCAAAAAAATTCTGAGTTCAGTCAAAACATTGAAGTCTTACACTAGCACAGGAAATACACTTAGATTCAATTATTCGGAGCCTTCGTCATAGAATGCATCATCATAAATAGAAAAAGTCGATATCAGAGTCTAGTTTTGTATCCAAAAGGAACATATGTCCAGGTCCCAAATAAAATTATTCAGTATGCGGAAGATATGAATAATAAAACATTCGAATTATCGATGTCTGAAACCTGAATTTTGTTTTGGTCTCAATGCGATAATGAGTATCGAAATCTATGTTAAAAGATATTTCACTGTCAAATATATTTTCAAATTATTTTCTTTGAAAAAATATAAATCGTGAAATATTAAACATGGGTGCAGTAGAGAATGTTACGCGTTAATAGCGTTTGATATTTAAAATACTCAAAATTCATAAATCTATTTTAATAGATTTTAAGTTTCAAATCAAGACCAAATTTCAAGTTTTCCTTTAAGTGATTTCAGTTGTGCAACTTTAAATTTTATTAAATTCAGACTCAAGAAAAAAAATAAGGAACTATTTTTCTTTTGTACATGGTATGGAAGGAGACAATTTTCCAAGAAAAGAGTCGACGATTTGCTGGACTTAAACTACAGGGGTTAAAAAATTAACTAGTCTAAAAAGAAGTTATCAATATTAAGAAAATCTAGAAAATTCTTTATAGCTAGAGGTCTACTGCTATCACTCTCGGACCAATGACTAAGATGGTTTTGTAATTAGTGCTCGCTGCAGTCGTTTACCAGATACTAAAACTTAGTATACTACTTTTGTTGGTACATGCTGTTTGCGCATGAACATGTCCAGAAGGTCTAGCCAACTTTGAGCCAAACTGTGTTTAAGTACCTTAGAAAGTGAGCAATTATAAACTTTCGAAAATCGCAACTTGAATATAATTACTTATTGCAAATTTTTTACAAAAAGAAATAGTGGCTTGTTCTTCATTATATTAAATTATAGTAAAATATTAAAATACATAGTTATAACTGCGACTTTTCGACAAGACTGACTGCAAACTATACATCGCTAGCTGATAAAAGCAGCAATGCTCACAAATGTTAAAGCACGATTTTTAAAATTAATTTATACACAGAAATTTTACCAATTTAGCTAAAAAATGTATTTTTGTCATTCAAAGTAGAAGTTTAAATTGAGTTAAAATATAAATATAAGTAAAAGAATTTTTCGATATGTTTGAATATATAGTAAAGTTTTCTTTATTATTAAATCTTTGGATAAATTTACAAGTTCATGTAAAAATTCGGATACGTTTAAATTTTACTTGAAATATGGAAAAAACATACGTTAAATTAGCATTAAGGGGACAAACTCCCAACAGCTCACTTTACTAACTATTGAAATCATAATATTACCAGATTAAGAAACTCTCAATCTGGGAAATTTGGTCCCCATAGTTGGGGTCTGAAGAGCGATTTAAAGTTTGAACCCCTTAATGCTGATTTTATTTCTGCCGCCTCGAGAACTTTTTAAGCGAAGCAAAAAATTTTTGCCCACAATTATGAAACTAGTTTATCCAAAGATAATTCCATACAAGAAACAAATGTATAAATATTTTTTATATCTTATTCAATAATGGTAGACTTTTTTTTTCAAATTGCAAGGTATGTAATTTTACATTGTAAAATACAAGATTAGATCGATTGATAAGAAATCTAACTTTAAGTTTGACTTTTTAAAATTTAATTTCTCAGGAACTGTAAATTTTACCTTTCGATTAAAAAACTTTAATTCTAGATCCGATCTTTAGATCAGATCATCACGTTCTTGAATATCAGAAGTTAAAAGGGTGGTCCGTTTCTTATTTTGCGTACTATAAAACCCTAAAATAAAATATTCATTTGAAAATTAGTGCTAGTAGTTTACGTCGCACTAGAGCTGCACAATGGGCTATGGTCTGGAAAACATCACCGAGGATGATCCGAAGACATGCCACCACAATTTTGATCCAGAGATGCCAACTTGCTCCGGACATGAAATATATATTTTAAAGTGGTAGTTTATCAATTGTGATACTTTGTTTAAATTCAATTTAGTAGATTTTTATCCACCACTACTTCTAAATAATTCGTAGACTTACATAATTCACCATTTTACAGTAATTATGTCATGCTATAAAGCAAGAAAAGTTGTCAAATATTTGCAAAATTTCCTTAGTAGTTATTTACCGTATTTTTTTAAAATTATTTTGCCGTGTCCGGAGCAGTTGGCATCTCTGTTGATCCCCTGCAGAGGGGATGGCACCCCTGCTTCAGTAGAAGCCAAGCACTTTACGGTAGAACATTTTAACGAGGACCAATACCACACACCCTTGGTTCCTGCTCTAGGTGATCAAAGTCGTCACGCACCCGTACACAGACCTTGAAATTCAGAAAAAATAACGATAAAGAAAAAATATAACGAATAGTTTATTGAAACTATTTACAGGCGGCCATCAGGCACTTATGCTCACAGAACAAATAAATTAAACAAATGAATTAATAAACGAGGAACATGATTTTATAAGAAGTTCATACTAGACGCTGACCAAGAGATGCACACAACTGTAAGGATATTAAGTATTAGAAGAGGAGAAATTGAAACACCGTGGCTTTTCTTAGCTTGAATGGTAGTTTCCTCCAAGTCTTCCTGCACAGTCGTGTTAGCAATAGTTGGAACATTGTAAGGTTCACTGCCGGTCTCTAGTTCAGAAGTTGAGTCCGTCTCTGTCACATTTGTGAGGGTTTCGTTATTTACTTCTTCAATGTCCTCTGTAGATGTAGTTTCGTTGTAAAAAAGGTTATCCGTGGTAAGATTCGCGATTTCTGTTACGGAAATATCTGAAGTGGTAGTATTGTCAGTGAAAAGGAAATCATCGATTTCTGTAGAATTTAATAGTGGAGAAGCTATTGTGACCTAAAAATACAAAAGAAACATTTAGTAACAAAGTAGATAATCTTCTGCAAATGCGCCGAAATTCATAGATAGCTCTAGGTTTTTCTTTTTAATAACCATAGTTGAACAGATGACCCAATTTAGAGTTTATGACTAACTCCATAGCCTTGTAATTTCAAAACCCACCCAAAAGACAAAGGAGATCCTCGATCAAGTATTGGGAGAAATTTGCCTCAACTTTTTGTGAAGGAACTTATCCGCATTTGCGTTACATGGAGAGAAAACCACGAAAAGCACCAATGGTTAGCCTGGTGGCAAGGGAACTAACTACGATCCGTCTACCACTGAGGATATTTTTCTTATGTCAGCACTAAGGTATTCGCAAACCGGGTGTGGAATTAGAATTCCAGCCGATGCTGGGATTCGAACCCGGGATATCACGTTAGAAGGCTAGACTTAGAAATTTTAGATTTACTACTCAAATAGAATAAAGTTTCCTTACTTTCCAGATATATTTTTAAAATACTCCAGTCTGATATTGTAGTATGTACTGACAATAACATGAACGATGAAATATACAATGAACCACAAAAGTTTGATATTTGTAATTTACGCGTAGAGTATATTTTAGTTTAACTAAAAATTAAACTAAACAATACAGAAAAAATGGCATTAAAGATAATAGAAATATATTACAAAAGAAAAATAGTTAAAAAGAAGCAACATTTTATCTCGTTTAGCAAACAAAACTAATTTTGAAATTTGTGAATAAATAGAAACTTCTGAAGAAATATTGTTTAATTTTTGATCTTCATTTCGTATGCCTGTAAAATTTTATACATTTCAATTGCATGACTCAAACGATGGAAAAATTTAAAAGTGTGAAATCTAAAATAAAAAAGGGTGTGCTTCAAGTTCATGTAATTTTAAAATTTTTCTTACATAAAGATACTGAAGAGATAAAAGTAAAAATTAATCATTAATTCGCTATTAATGTATCATTCTCTATAAATAAAGATTAGCTTGTTATTTATATAAATATATGTAAGGCAAATTAAGTAAGTCAATTTATCAGAGATTCCGAACTTTACAATAAAACAATAAATCCTTAAATTTAATAAATTTTAGTATCTGATATATGCTGTATTAGATATTAGTTAAAAATTTAAATTAAGTTTCGAAATTAATAAATTTCGAAATTAATTCGATTAAGTTTGCGTTAATAAATTTCAATTCGCGAAATTTCATTAGTTTCTAGCGAGTGAAAGTAATTATACCACTTTTAAAATTGCATTCTAAGAATTTTCTGGTCTTTCAGAAGGAACATTTAGAACAAAACTAAAGTTAAAAGCAGTTTATATATTTAAGCAACTGTAAAAGGCAGTTTTTGAATATGTGTCTTGAAAAAAAAAATGACAAAAATAATTTAAAATCTTAATTTCACAATGCAATCTTCCGAACCTCATTTTAATATTGCAATTTTTATGCCTTAAAATGTTTACTACGTTGAAGCAAAATTATAGAATAAAAAACTGAAACCTGTTTGTGTAAATCTTTCAAACTAACTTTCTTACAGTACAATTTTTTTCTTAAAGCAATAATATGTTTATAATTCCATACAGAATGATTTGATAACCTGTAGTTAGAGCATTTGATACTATTTTGTAATTTTTAAAACTTAAAAATACGAAATTTGATGATTTTAGTTTTTCAAAAATTAAGACACTTATATTCCATTTTGATAAATTTGAGATTTATTTAATATAAAAATTTAATAGCTATTTCAATATAGATTGAATAAAGTAATATAGAATAATGTATTATTGAAATTTTAAAAACAGCGAGAAAAACAAATTTTATTAACTAAAATTTAAAAATAACGATCGAAATATGGATTTAAGACTGTATAAGACCACGAGGAAAAGTAATTACTGAAATGCGGCGATTCGAAATTTCCAGGTCATAATTTATCAAAAATTCGATCTAATTGTAACCAAAACATATCCCATTGATTAGTTAATTATTCCGTTACAAATCTGAATTAGCAACAAAATTGCTACTCATTAAAAAGTGAAATAGAAAACAATTTTTTCTAGAAACTAAACTTTTAAATGTTTACCATTTCAGAATTATTTTTTAGATTACCAATTTTGCCTTTAGCGTGTGTCTCAGTAGTATGTCAATTCTAGTCGAAGTAAAGGAATTTTCTCAAAATTTAATCGAATTTTCATTTTGCCGCAACAAATGTACCTACTTAAAAAAGTTATTGTGCGGAAAAGTTCAGAAAAAAATGGTTGACGGTAAGGGCGGAATAAATGTCGTGTTAACAAGATTTTGTGTAAGTAACAAAATTTAAATTTTAGATTAGCGGAACTCCGAGAAAATTTTGTTGAATTATAAAATTTATTGATTCGCAGAAGAATTATTTCTAGATTCACGGAAATTTGCGAATTAGAAGAACATACCTGTAAAGTACAAAAATTAAAAGAAATGTCTTGCACATAACCCCATATAACTCTGATTTTTGTTCAGAAGCAATTTAAGAATAATAAGCTATTCAACAACTGATATGTCGCAGAAAGAAAAATTACTAAGACTATTTAATAGAGTAGTTAAAGTATAAGATACTGATTAATAAAACTACATTTTTTACACTTAAGAATCAAAAATTCAAAAGGAAATCTCATAATCTGATAAATCCTACAAAACATTTGAAGACTGTTTAAAATGTTCAAACATTATTTAAAATAAAATCGTAACTAAAAGTCATTACAGTAAATATTCACATAGCAGTTTGACAAAAATTAATTGTTAAAAAAGAAAAAGTTCTGAGAAACATTTTACTTTCTTCGAAAAATTCTGGATGTCTATTAATCGAAATTGTATAAGATTCCTTTAAGTCTCTCTGCCAAGAGATTAATAGGAGTTTTGAATAAGTAAAAAAAATCAGGACAATTACCCCGTCATTGCACTTGAATTTAAATGCAGTCTATCAGTTTCAAGAGAAATAATGTTTCAACAGAAACTTTTACCATTCTGTTACAATTGATCGCAATATAGCGCACTCGCAAAAAGTGTCTGCGCTTTAATTTGTATGAAAAGAATTTATTGATCAGAAAGGGGAAAAATCGTCCAAGTTTTTATTAATAAAAATTATCCCAAAATACCTCCTCTTAACACTGTCAGTTTCCATGGTTTTGGCAAATTTCATTTTATCACACGGCAGAAAGTTTTAGTAAGTTTGAAAATACTAGTGTAGGGATAAGATTTGCGAAGTCATATAATCAGGGAGGGGGAAAGTGTGGAGAGTGGGATAATTTTGTAACTTCTGTTGCCTGTTCTGTTTACAACGAATAAGATTTAAAAATTTACAACAGTACATTATCGACAAAATAAAACTAAGCATCAATACCTAAGTCACGGTGGCTCAGGGGATAACGATACCGCCTTCCATTGAGGTAATCCGGGTTCAAATCCCAGCGATGGCTGGTCTATACGAATTCCGCACCGGATCAATCCAGTCAGCGATGACGTAAAATATACTCTGTGGAAGATTAGTTGAAGTCCCCTTGCTGCCAGGCTGACCATGAGAGGTTTTCCTCTCCAATTAACGCAAATGCGAGTTACTTCCATCAAAAAAGTACTCAACGGAGGCAAATTTCCAAGAGTTTGTCTTCTGGATTGGTTTCAAAATTGCAAGGGTACATAGTTAATTAGTTGTAAAGTCTGATGTTCAATGACTAAAAAAAACCATCAATATCTCCGTTGTACGCTACATTCCTTTTCCATTAGAAAATATAATTCAACTCTTACGTAAAAAAATATTTTAAGAATAAATTGTTCGAAAGACTTGCTTCTCTAACGTCAATTTAAAGTTTAGCTTTTAATTTATGCAATTCTAGAACTAAAATTAAAATTGAAAAATCAAAACGGGGGATGTTTCACAAAGTTCTGGATAAAGTTTCAATGATTTTATTACTCATTCTCAACTTCCCAGAATCTTTTGTACTAGTTAGTAAAAAATTAATCGCTATAAGATCAGCTACAAAATTTGAAGAGCACATGTTTAAAAACACACATTCTTACATTTTCATTGAAAAGAAAAACATAATTCACATTAAAAAAAGAAATATATAATACAACAACGAAGTTCTAGTTTTAAGTTTGAGTTATAACATACATTTACAAAATTGATATTTTTCCATTAATTACTTCCTGCACATTTTTACCGATCTTTTAATACTCCTTAGATATGTAAGAATTAAAGGATTAAATTTGAACAATTTTCTTTCTTTCCTAATTTGCAATTCTTTCCAAATTAGGAAAATTTTTTTTGATTTCAAGTACAAAAAGTAGAGCAGGCTAAAATGACTTCGCAATAAAGTGGAATAAATTGTTTAATATCGCAAAAATTAAAACCAAATTACGCTATGAAAACAAAAATATCTTATCAGAAATTTTAGATTTCCTCGACTTCAGAATTAAAATTTTTTAACTCTAGAATTTTCAGCCCTTTGTAATTAATTAGTTATCAAAATCTAACCTGTATTCAATAAACATTTTTTTAAACAAAGTTTCAATAAATAAAAGTTTAAAACTATTAAAATATGGTTAGTTGTTCAATATTTAAAAACTTAATAAAATATAGAAAAATTTAAACTTTTTCAAGTCTCTGAGTTTTGAAATAATTTTCATTAAGACACTGGCAAACAATATTAAATAAATATTTATTATTAGGATTTAGTTTTCCAAAACACTTTGAAAAAGCATAATTTAAAAGCAGATTTATTCCGTAGATTCATTTGAGTTTTACGAGATCAGCGGTGTTGTATGAGACAGAATTTTAATATCTTATCACTTAGTTATAAATTCGATGTTTAGCAAAATGTCCAAATTAATTTACATTAATACTAATTTTCATTTTCAACAACAATATATCTAATAATTATCATATTTTTTATATTTGATAATATTTTCGTTGCTCAACTGAAGACTAAGGGTGGAAAATTGTTTATGTCCACGAAAGCTAATTTTGTGAAAAATTGAATTTAAAGGTTTGAGTTTATTCAGGGATCTAGCATACAATTGAAATCAAGAATATGCATGAATATCACAAGCATTTATTTCAATTCCCGAAAAATATACCAAAATTTACGATTTTTGGTGTTTTGAAAAATAACGTTTGAAATTCGGGTTGGACAAAAACAGTTTTTATCTCTCCAATCAATGCTTCCTAAGTAGAAATCCAATCTCCACTATGCTTTTCTTTGTTAGTTTAGCCTACACGTTGACAGCAACAGTTTTTCCACAACATGGCCTATCTTCAAAGTCTAATTAACTCTCGGGGAGAATTGAACGTCCACGTTATTTTTCCAACATTTTGTAATTCTTAAAATGAAACCGATGGTTATCAAATCATTATGAAAATTAAACAGTTATTCCCTCTTCTACTTTAGCCGACGACACATTTATAAAATATCTTATATAGCTTTAATTATTAAAAATATTAGAGTCAAAACCCATAACACACTACAACTAACTGCTATAGAAAATGATCTCGATATTATCGTATTTGATATTGACATTGATAATGATCGTGATATTAAGTTTATTCGATAGTTATTATAAAAAAATTATATTTATGATATTACAAGGAATGTATTGCTATAAGATATTAAAAGTATCTTTTCTTTACGTTATACCATAATTCCCCTTTTTAATCATGAGTTCAATTAAACAATTTAAATCTTTTACGCATAATTGTACAGTAAAATTAAAAAAATAATAAATTAAACTTACTTGAAATATGACTAGAACAAGGACATGATAAAAGGCCATTTTACCTGAAAGAGAAGAAAGAGGCATTAGGACAGAAAAGTGATACACTTTAACACCTACTCTCAGTAAAGGTAAACGAGTAGGATGGGTTACGTAAATTAATCAGATGACCTCCTGGAGACTAAGGAGGTCGAAAATATTTGATTTAAATATTTTGCTTTGATGATATTGTTCCAATTAAGTCACAGAATTAATGCGGGTCTCAATATTATTTCTATCCTGTTCGGTTGTCGAATCTAAACATTTTTAGAGCAAAGTGTTTTTTAAATTTAAAAAAAAGTCTAGAAACTTGTTATATTAATGTAACTTGCTGAGTCTTCCTGAACTAAAAACTAAGCATAGAAAGTAAATTGTTTTTATATAGTATGAATAATTCGTTGTATTTAATAAGCAGTAGGATACAACATCGATTATGAGGATATTTCGCGGTACCTTAGTTTTCTGAGTAAGGACTTTTTTTTACCAATAACTTTTGATTATATTAATGTCTAATCATTTGATGTATGCTATTTATGAATTTTTTTGAAGTAAGAAGCAACTGAATAAAGAGATAGCGAACTTTAAAACAAATATTTTCTTAATATTTATAAGAGGTGCATTGGAATTTACCATTTAAATTGTCAAATCGGAATAATTCAACAAATCTGGTAATTTTTGTCATTGATAGCCATTTTCAACAGCTTTTGTTTTATCTTAATGACTACCATACTTAAGCTTATTTTATTCATTTTTAGTATATACATAAAAAATTCAGAACTAGACATGCAGTTACTGATCTGCGAATTAAACTGATTTAAAACCTATTTAAAATCATTGATGGAATGTAAAATTGCCTTCAAGTCAAAATGCTTATTAAAATAGCAATCTTTCATTTAATAAGTTTAAATACTTTTAGTCTGGGTTCTGCCAAAAGGCCAATCATTAGGGGCTCCATGGACGAAAAAGAAATTTGGAACAGCAGGGCCGTAACATATTTAAATGACTGATATGTATTTCTCATTTTTAATTAGAATAAACTTTTAAAATTTTAATTTCATTCATTTGGGACAATCAGTATTTAGTGTATTTGAAAAACTATTTTTAATTCTGTAACAGATGTCAGAAATAGAAAATTTTCCCCCTCAACAACTCAAATTAAGGTTTGGTAAAATTCCTTAATAAAACAAAGAATTTTTTGTACACTTACCCAATAAAAGCTCTGATATGATGTATTACTTATATGAAAACTATATCATAGTCAAAATATCTCATGTAATAATTGTTCCAAAATAACCACAGAATAAAAACATTTAAAGCTCAAAGATAACAAGAATTTTAAATTTCACTTATATGCACTAAGTATTTAAATAAAAATTTGAAACTGAATATGTTTAATTGAAACATGTCCAGTAAACTGCAAATTATTTGAAATGCAGCTAATGGAAAATTACAAGTCGGGTCACGCTACTTTTTACCTACAACTAGTTTATTTTATTTAAATGTCTATTTCGAACATAAAATATTTAATTATTTCTTACGATTAAATCTTCATTAACAATGAAAACTGATATAAAAATATAAAATACCAAAACCTCAAGGACGCTCCTGAATTATGCTATAAAAAATACAATAATTGAATTAACACTTTAAAAGCAATGATCTCTTTAAAAAAAATTTGCCAACCCTACTTAGAAATGCATAAATTCATGAAATCAACTTCTTTAACCTGTTTAAGTGATATCTTTTTCATATCCTATATCGCAATCATTCAATTAATAACTGTACCACTGATGGTTTATCAACAATTCAGGTTTTTAAATGTCTTTTTTAAATCTAAAAAGTTTTTGGCCGTTTATGTATCATTTAACAATTCATATTACTTAACGATTTTTATTTCATAAATTTTATCTTTTTCCTAGAAGTTATCAAAAAAATGCATTTGCCAAGGCTGACATTGTGCGTACAATTTTTCACTGCTAAGAAAAGGGTATTTAGCAGTAAGCTAATATAGTACTTTCGATGTCTGGAAAAAACCTATTTTTGTACTATAATGCTTACATTAATTTTTAAAAATTATAGAAGTGATCATACGATATACTGAATGTATAGTTTAATGTTGGAAATATGAAACTGTATTCTTGCTAAATAACTATTAAAAAGTTAAGCTGCATTATACATTTAAAGTATTGAAAGCAAATGGTATTTAAAACTTCGAACTAGGAAATTTACGAAACTACCTTTTTAAATATTAATGTTTTGAAATTATCCATTTTGTTATATATTTAAAACGATTACAAATTTTAATCATTTCTACATAGATTTAAAAACATGATTCGTTAATCATTGGTTGGAGATTTTCAAATAAAATATATATAAAAGGAAAATGTTAACATTTTACTGGTTTAATAATTTTTTGAATAGAATTAAGACAATGGATGCAAATATTTAAAATTTACTTAAAAAAAAACTTTATCAGCTCTTTTGAAGTGTTGCTTAGAATTAAAACTAACTATTTTCGACTAAAATGTTTACTGCTGGTATCTCGAAAAACTTCGTCAAAATATCAACAAAATGAATTTTGTTGAAAGAAGCAATAAAGTTTTAAAAATTGAGTTCTTATGTAGATTAAAACGAGAAAAGTTCAGTTTCTGTTAGGCATAAAAATAGAATTATTCAGGTCTGAAAAAAATGAAAAGTTGAGCGCATCACTTTTGAAAGACAAGAATTGGTGATAAAAGTTTAATACGAATTTGATTCACGGGTTTATCTCTTTAGGTGTCAAATAAAATAGTTTAAATAAAAAAAATTTAGTTTAAAACCTTTTTATTTTAAACTTTCGAGTTTGCTTTATTGAAAGGTTGTGATGCCACAATTGACATTGCATATTTCCTACCTTTTAAAATATTTTTACTTAAACTTATTTTTCTAACCATATTAATCGAATTATAGTTAAATTAATAAGTTAATCTTTATAATAGCGAGCATAAAATATTTTATTTTTTTTCTTATGAAGCAATAAAACTGCTAGTTTTTTATTTCAATACTAATGTTCACTCATTAATTCACTGTCACGCCTAATTGAAAACGAAAGTCTATTTATAACTCTTAAATTTCTTACCTCAGCTATGCTTCAGTTAAGGGTTATTATAATTCCCACAGTTTTGTTGGCGACTCGTGATCGCCGAAGTATTTCTCAAACCCAATATTGATTATGCGGGGTTGGCTTTGTCTTGGCTATGTTATATTTTGATAATTCGCCAATATTGGATCTCCTATCCATGCTTCTCCTGTGTCCGTTGTAAACAAATACATTTACTTTCAATTTCAAATGAAAGTAACTGAAAAAATTCTCTTCCATATTACCTTAACACTTATTATAAAGATTTTTCACTAATTAAGCAGAGAATGAACACATATATTACATACTTAAATTTGTGAATGGGCCCCAGTAATTAAATTGTTAATTCATTACAATGACTTAAGTAAAAATTACAAAATTTGGAAATTAGGTACTTAAATTATAGGAGCATTTTTAATCCAAATTTTTTTTAAGAATTCAATATTTCATTAAAAAGTATTGATTGGTTTAATATTTTATGAATCAAATTTGTAAACAAATTAATAATTTTAGAAAAAAGCAACTCCAGTAAAAACTTTTGTAACAGTAAATTAGCATATGGTCCCCGATCTTAAACATTGATAATTCTTCGGTCATTTAATTCTTAATATCGATTGCTTTTCACTTTCTAACATAACCTTTAAAACATTTCTAACATAGTCTTAGATTTTTTTAAACTGTGAGAACTTTCTAAAGACACAAGCATTAAAATTACTACATTGATAAGTGATCAATCAAGCAGAGAAAACGCTCGCAAACCAAGATTCTAAACAATACACTAGGTCTTAAAAATAGAGTTAAAGTTATAAGAATAATTTTAGGATAATTCAGGGTATTAACCTTAAGAACAGGTTACTGATATTTGTTGGATAAAATGCAGAAATAAAATAATTTAAACTTTTAGAATCATTTTATATGAAATTATATATGAATAGTTTAGAGAATCAAAACTTATTAACTACAGTTTAGTCAAAATAATTTAGTAATAAGAAGCGGCTCACGATGTGAGTTAAGCTTCCTTTCTTACAGAATGAAATCTAACTTAGAACTTGAAATGATTAATGCTAACAGTTTTCTAGGAAGTAGTAAAAGAGTTGCCCGATTAAAAAAGAAATTTAAAAATATTTTGTACGGATATGGGATTTCTGCTGACAATTTTAATATTGACGCACCAGAGCAGTTAAATCCTTTTAAACAGTATTCAGTTGTTTCTGTCACATAGGCCAGACTCTTGAGACTAGAAATTTTGTACTTCTCAGTCATTTTGGGAGTAATATAGTCGAAACAACTTGTTCAAATTTATGTTGATACGTTGCTTCTTAATCATACGGCTTAGGACTGCATATGAGAGGCACTGTTTAAGCAATGGCGAAACGTTTTAAATAGTGTTATTCCAATCCTCAAACAATTTGCTAAAACTAAGGTAGCAAAATAAGTTTAACAATTATATGATGTATATAGTAATCTGAACATTAGTTTGCTGGTGTACAAGAATTATATTGAAAATTTGTAAAACTAATTTAAATAAAAATTTAGCACAAGTACACGGCAACTTTTTTCTTTCGCATGGATCTAAACGAAGCCCATTAGAGTGAAGCCTAGAGGGTTTCACTCTAATGGGTGCCGCCACTAGGAATGCATTCTAAGCTGGCAGTAAGCTATTAAAGTCAAAGCAACAAACTCTTGTCCGCTGAAGAATTTAAATTCATATTTGCAATTTAAATGCAAGACATATTAATCCTATTGAATTTTGTGACCTATAAATGGGACCGTACATAATAAAAAGAACCTAATCTAATTTTAATGAAAATGTATTGGTAAATCTTCGTAACCTTTTCAGAAATTATTTCCTTTAGGGAACCTGATTTGATATTTTTTTTTCGAAAGCAGAATTTGCGTATTTCAATTAAACCACTTCAAAACACTGAATTTAGAGATAAAAAATACGCTACCTTGCAAAATATGAAAAAAAATTTAGTTTCAGGTGATCTAAATGATTTGAACTTTCATATTGTTATTTAGGGGTCGAATGAAAAGTAAATTTTCCCACTCTTAACAATATCAATAATTATTCGTTAAATTCAGTTTAGAGCAGTTAGCTATAATTAAGTTTTTTTCCATTCGAAATTCAAGACTAAACTTTAAATAATGAGACAAAAGTATAATAAAAATTAAATTTAAATCCGGCATTAAAGTGTTAAGTGAAAGACCAATTTTACATTCTACACATTTGATTTTTCACACAGAACTTACGTTAAGGGGTTGAACAAATTATAAATTTGCAAATGAATTTTAGAAAGAGAAACTGGAAAAAGTTTAATAAATTCTATGACCAACGTAGGCATCCAATTTTTGTGAAAACTAAACTAAGTTTACATTTTCGATAGTTTTCTAAATACTACAAAAAAAAAAGGAATTCTTTCATCTGTTGAATCTATCCTGAATTTTCTTCTTTACGATAAAAATATGAATTTTTATGTATGAATAAGATTGTGGTATTTCGTTTTATTAAAAAATAGTTAAAAATCTTGTAGGTTTAATAACTATACCATTGTAGTTCCCAAGTAATTTACAGTATATAATCCAATCTTTGGGAACTTTTGAATTAGTTATAAATTCTTAATACTTTCGCTTGTTGTAAAGAATGGATCACCAGAATTAGATAGAGAAAAAAGAAGAGGGTTTGTATCGAAGTTAACTAAAATTCAGACATTGAATGCTTTAGATAGCTCTAAGGTATAATTGACATTTAAAAATAATTAATTCTGTTAATTATATAAATTCATTTAAACACTTATTATTCAGATCTATTCTAGTGCATTCTGACAACTAGATTTTTGTGATTTTAATTCACTTAAAAGGAAATTAGTTATAGTAGTTTTCATTAACTTTATACTTGACATTTGCTAAAATAAATATTTAAGATCACAAGTGAGTTTAAGAGTAATAAAGTGGGATTTAAAAAAAAAACAAAACTGGTATGACTTTGCTTTGGTACACGAAAAGATTGTAAATCCTGTTTTGTCATCAACCATTAAATCTTTGATTTCAACACTTTAACCATCACAAAAAAATAAAATAAATAAATCATAGACATTGCAGCAAATACTAAATACAAGGAAACGAATTTGTGTTATTTTTAGAACTAAATTCTTTTTACGCAGATAAAAAATAAAGGACTTAAAAATTAAAAAAAAAAAAAAAAAGACTACAAAAAACTTTGAATAGAGCTTTGTTTTTTTTTTAAAATTAGATAAACTAAATGTATTTAACTATATGTTGCACTTACTCTATTTTTAAGCAACAATTTCCTAAACTTTCTGCATTTAATTCCAAACTGCCTAACCTAAAGTTGAGTCTGATTAAATATTGACTATTTCAGTTTAAGTCCAGGGCAAATTTAGTCAAACGCAAGAATACAAAAACATTTTTAATTTAAAAATTGATATTCCGGTATTTAAACAATTAAAAAAATATCTGTAAATATAAATTACGAGACAACCTTAAATTTATGAGATTCGAAACATCTAAGAATTCCAATGAACACACATCGATATACAAATAAAGTTATGTCGATAAAACATTTTTCAAGAATTACTAAACCCCGGTAATATGAATTTAATAACCTTGACTACAATTGCAGCTGTATTAATAAAAGGATCGAGTGCTTAACTAAACCTCTGTTTATTCCCAAATTATATTAGATTTGTAAAAACTTAGAACAAAAGTATTGCAACTTGAAATACGGATTAAAGTATTCAATTTTTGCAATATAAAACAGTAAAATTTAAAAAGTTAAATTTAAAACTTTAATGTAGCATCTCGTTTGCAAACACTTCTAAATTACAAGAAATACATTAAAATGCAAATTTGATTACCAATAAATATGTAATATGGTAAGTTGTAATAAATATTATAATTCATAAATAATCGTAACTGAAATATTAAAATTTGAAAGATTAAGCTTTAAGTTAAATTCGCTTGCGGTTGAAATTCAGAAGCTGAATTTAGATAGTCGACATTGAAATATGGTTTACAAGAGTTAAGTTTTTTGCATTTAAAAAGAAATTTTTAGTTACTAGTCAACATTTGTTTAATAAAATACTACGGATTATTATTTGGCATTAACATTTTGTGAACTCTCAGATTTAAATCAAAACTTTTATTCACGAAACCAAAAGATCAAATAAAGTTTTACATTCCGAATAAAACGATAAAACTAAACTAAACTTTCATATAAACACAAATAGTTTAATTTCAACATATAAACGACCAATTAAACAAATCTTAATAGAAAATAGAACTTTTACAACCATTGAGATTTTTCAAAATTTTTTTTTCGACTGCAGTACCCAAAATGTATATTTTTAACATTACTAAATAAATTTTTTCCTCTTAAATAAAAAAAAGTCTGAAAATTTAAGTTGAATATATTTATTCGAATATGAAAATGTTCGAGTTCTTGGATAATTTAATACTCCACAATCAACTGCAACAAAGATAGACAAAAACATTTTGACCAAATACAAACAATTCTTTTATTTGCCATGCTGTCAAATTATATATTTGTGGGGGAAATATACAATACTAATAGCATCTCAGCTTAAACTATGGAATAAAGTATTTAATTTCTGCAACTTAAACAGTTCTAATTAATCCGGTAAACGATAAATGCAAAGGCAAATAAAACATTTCTGAGTTGCCCATACAATGCATGTAAAAATTTAAATTGCAATACATATATTTCAAAGAAAATTTAATAAATTTTAATATGCAACATACTACGTTTTAATATTTTTCATTTTTTCCATAGTTTAAATTAGACATAAATTGCAATAAGACTTAACTCATACAGCAAAATTTTCTTGTAGCTTTGTTAAATAAAAATTTGCGAAAGCAAAATGTATAATTAAATTAGAAGACTCACCTACAAAACAAACGAACAGAACTGAAACCACACTAACGTAATCCAAAAGAACACTTCGCAAATGAGAGAAATTTCAACCTTGGCGCCAGATTTATACTCCTCTGGCGCAATTCTGCCGATTTACATAGAAGTGAAAGATAACGCGCGATACATTTTTTAACTGTTCTCTTTCTTATTCATCTTTTAAATGTATCAGAAAAATTGTTCTAAAAATTTCCTAGGGTAAATTCGAAATTTAAAAACCAATTTTGGACAAAATTTATCATTATTTTAAAATTATTAGCGAAATTTCTTTCTGCGGAAGTTAACAATTATTTGGCATTACGAAATTTTTCATATTTGGTGATTCTGTTAATGTATAAATTCGTCTGCTTTTTCGAAGCTGTTTTATATTATAGACACAAAATTGAAATTATAGTTTTAACGTTCAGAGCAATTAAAAAATAAATGAACGAAGCACCTTGGATAACTTTTGATCTAATCATCGGATTTTCACGTACAATGTGAATAGTTCAAGGAGATAACTTCAAGCATGCTAATTGATTAGTGCAGACGATATTTTTGTTACGAAATCTGACAGGAAAACGTTTTTTCTCTGAATAAATATACTTCTTTTTTATAGAATTATGACTTCCGAAATATAAAGGGAAGCCGCGATCTGGTATCGATATTTTGATCAGGAGAGCTGTGGAAAGTTTGAACCCCTTAAAGCTAATTTTAATTGTTGCATATTTCAAGAACTTTTTTAGCGAATTGAAGAATTTTTGCCCACAATTATAAAATTCGTTTGTCCGAAGATAATTTTATGTAAAAAATAGCTTTTAGTTAATATTTTTTAATTTTTTATTATTTTATTTCATAATAGTTGAAAAAAGTTAGAACTGTAATATATACAATTTTTAACTTCATTTTAGGGAAAGTAATTTTACATGGCGTAATGCAATATTTCAGTAAAATTAATCGAAACCTAAAAAATCGAATTTTAAAAAAAAATTCGATGTTTTTTAAAATTTAATTTTTTATGAACTATTCGACTGATTTAATTCAAATTTTGTATTTCGTCATATAAAATTACATTATTTGAAATGATGCAAAAATTTGATGCGTTGCAGTGATTTTTATTAAATAAAATAATAATAAATAATAAGAAAAAATTATTTTTTGCTTGGAGTTATCTTTAGATAAATGAATTTCACAATTGTGTTCGAAACTTTTTTTATTTTGCTTAAAAAGTTCACGATATATGGGAAATAAGCACAAAGTTAATTTGCATTAAAGAATTCAAACTTTGGGCAACTCTTTTGATCAAACAATAAGGATTATATATCAAAGATTGCGGCTATCCCTTATATTTCGGGAGTTAGAAATCATAATCCGTTGAAAAAATGGGTATGTTTATTCAGAGAAAGTACGTTTTTATTGTTTTATTTCGTAATTTAAAATACCGTCTCTACTAACTAATTAGCATATTTAATATCACTCTCTTGGATATTGAGATTGAGTCCTAGTACGTGAAAATCCGATCATTATTATCAATGTTTATTTAGGGTGTTACGTTTATTTTTTTTTATCACTGTATTTCGTTATTACTGAATTTATATCCAAAAGCATGAAATCTTTTTTTAATGGTTCATATCATTAAAAAGATTTAAGTTAAAATAATTTTTAATTTGAATGATTAACTAAAATGTATTTTTAAGAATAAAATTTTAATTATGAAAGTATAACTTATAATCATGAAATCAGCACCATATTCGTCTTTCGCAAAATTTTTGCAAGAAGCAATGTACCAAAAAAAATACAAACCTTCATTTTTTATGTTGGGATTTTTTCAATAAAAAAAATATTTTAAAGCTGAAACCAAAAAATTTTTAACTTAAAAATTTAAAAGTATCTTTATAAAAACTAATAAACACTAGTATTGAATTTGAAAAAAAAAATCCCCATTTATTTTTAAAATTGAAATTACAATTCTTACACAAAGATATTTTTTTTATTGAAGTATGAGGGTCTTAATACAGAAATGTGTTTTTTTATTTCCTACTTATAATCAATATATGTATCGGATTTTCCTAACTGTGAAAAAGACTGAAATTCTGCCACTTGGTTGAAGCAGCCACTACAGAATTAAATGTATACTGCTCGTCACTAAATCGTTCTTATTCATACGATTACTACATGGTGCTCTGTAACTAATGCTGTTAAATAAAATTTATATGGAGTTTATCGAAAATGAAATCCAAAGACTAGATATTTTAGTGACTGGTTAATATTAAAACAAAGAAGAAACAAAAGAGCAATGGAAATCATCTAAACCAGTTTTATTTACTACAGAAACTTTGAGGTTTCTATTATATTCCTTTCGTCTCCCTCTTGCTTTCCCTGACCCGCCTTCCTCAATAGTGTTCCTCAGACATTGAATTTTTCATTTTCCGTCGCTGAAATATTAATTCGCGACTCCTATTACGCATACTGTTTGACTGTATCTTTAACAAGGATTCCCGAAATAGTAGGGGAGAGTGGGGTCAATTGTAACAGGGTACGATTGTAACAGAGCAAAAATTTCGAGTATCGGGTTCTAAATTTGGCTCCTAGGTGGCGCACAAGGTGTATTTAATAAATCTACATGTACACCCCTGCTGGCAACCATTTTTATGTACTTTTGAAAGAGTTACATCACAAAAGATATTTTCACGCTACGTAAGTACTTTTTTTGGTATTAGAATATTATATTGTAACAAAGTAATTTTGTTTAAACAAATAAAAATTATTAACCGAATATGTAAGTGGACACCTTAATTAACATTTCAAAAAAAAAAAAGATTAGTTTTGCTAATTAACTAGCATTGTTTTTAACAAATGAAGCTGAAATGGCGTCTTGGGGACAATTGTAACAATAAGTAAAGGGACGATTGTAACAGCTGAAAATAAATAATCTTATGTTTACAAACCATTACTTAACTCTTTAAGAACCACCAATAGTTTCCTATATCATTTATATTATGTTGCATGTGCATTATTTTATTTGTCACCTTTCACAGCATAAATTAAAATTTTTAACCCCTTAAAGTTAAAAGTTTAACCCTTTAGGTCTCTGCTCATTATTATTTTTACTCCTAAAATATCACTACTATTTTGATCAATAAAAAAATATATCACAACTATGATAATATGTATAATTAACTATGTTTTAGTTGAATTTATGAACTGTTACAATTGACCCCGTAAGTGGGGACAATTGTAACAAGTGCACGACTGTCAAAAATTGTTAATAACTAATATAATAACATTTAAAATCAGGTATTTATTTTTTTTTCTAGTAGAGGATAGTCTACTTTACTCGTCTGTCAATTAATACTAATAATATATTGGATTTTTTGTTAGTTAAAAATAGTTAAGTAAAAAATGTTGCAATTGACCCCACTCTCCCCTACATATTAAGGGTGTTCATTACTCAACACCTTGCATATATTCGTCCCAAGATAGAGCTCATAATCATTTTGTTTTTCAAAAAAGAAGAGCATATTAGTCTGATCGCGCATTCGGGATGCTATTAACTGAAATCAACAATATTAGGAATGATGTAGCTATCACAATATTCTCGTTCTTTGATACACTAATAAATACATTAATACTATTTTAGTTAAATAGTAAGATAGGATTTAGATAAATACATTAAATATTTAAAGCATTCTAGTTGTTAAAACGCCAAGTTGTTTAACTCGTTTTTATGAATTTTGCCTTGTACTTCATTAAATTTATCTGGAATGCGAATTTCTTCAAATCGCCAGATGGTAAGCTGCTGTTAATCGTATTTATAATCAAAACTGAACAAATAAGATTCTTCTTCTTTTGGCAACCAAAAGGATAATCCAATCCGCAGATTTTTTGTTTCCGGGAAAATAAAAGAACAGAACAATTTCCAACTTCGAGTTTTGTCAGCGTTACAAATAATGAAGATTGTTTCATGACAGTAAAATATGTTGATTACTTAAAATTTTTATAATAAAAATTGCATTCATAATGCAAATACAGTGATGGCTTTGCCAGGTAATAATAGTTTTCTGATTCTCTTTAGCAATAAGCGTAGAATTTTTTTAAAACGCTTTTAACTGACATAAACTTGTTATTCTTATCAGCAAACGTTTTATCTAACTTGGTAGGGTAAAGTGTGTATTTGTAATTTTTTAATCCAGCCGACCGGTCTGTGTAAGGGTTAGGTAACAGCCCTTGCACCAGAAAGGTTCTGGTTTCGAATCCCGGGAAAGGCATGGATGTTCTTTCCTTCTCTGTACTATCTGACCTTACTGTATTAGCAATGTTGGCCCACCTAATATGGTGCCCCTGAAAGAGAGGCCAACAAAATTGCCCTGTAAATGCCTTAATTGACGAAAAAATGTTAACACAGGTGGGCATTGAAATTTTTTTTTTAACCCTACAGTTAATAATATTTTTAATATATGACGCTATGAGCAGTGATTTATAATTTATTAATATTCAGATTAATTAATATTCAGATTCCAATCAGACACAGTAACGTTAATATAATTATTCGTTATTGTTATTAAATATATTTTTCTGTTATAAAGCGTCTTCTTATAACTAGAGCAATTCACTTATCTTACATGGATTAACACCAATGTGAGATACGATAATCTCGGGGGCCATGGTTATTCATTCCTTCATTCGTGAATCCGCATTTCGTTAATCCACATGAGATGAATGAGTTATGTTAATCCACATAAGATGAATGAGAAGTTAAAACAAAACCCTTTATGACAGAAAAATATATTTAATAACAATAACGAAGAATTATGTTAACGTTACAGAGTCTGAATGGAATCTGAAAATTAATTAATAATACATCACTACATATAGCGCCATCTGCCCATAAATATTATTAACACCTACCATGTGTACCTCACAACCAATTTGCTTAATGTGCACATAATTTTGACTTCATCTTTGACAAAAAATCTAACGATATATTTTAAGGGCGGTGATAGCAGAACTACTTCCATATTAAAATTTTTTTTTGATTGAAAAATATATTACTAAACTTAAGAATGCCTACTATAATTTTTTTTAACATATATTTATTAGAAATCATAAAGAAATATAAAAGAAAATGCT